GACGACCTTGCTATCTTGAACATGCACACTTTATTTATATGATTACATAAGAAGAAATGTATAGTTACAGTAACCCCAAAATGTGGCCATGGATGTGTTACTCATTTTAAGGTTGAATGTCACATTAGTTTGTAAGATAGTCTTAACATTAGGCTATTTACTGTATTACAAAAGTAAAATTGAATTGTGTTTGGTTGACAAAGCAACCAAATATCAACATTTAAAGGAGATGTATGTACTGCTTGGATAGTTCCATCTGAGCCACTGGCTTAATCCCATTCTTTAACTTTTATTTTTGTTTGAGTTGGAGAGACGTAAATCCAACACATCATTTGTTAACTTGTCGACAAGTTAATAGGCTATTTATTGTACTTCAAAAGTGATATTGAATTGTGTTTGGTTGTCAACGCAACCAAATATCAACATTTGAAGGAGATGTATCTTCTGCTTGGATAGTTCCATTTGTGCCACTGACTTAGTCTGGCTTCAATTCCAGTTTGTCTACAAATGAATAATTGATATGTTGTCTCCATCTTGTTGTTCATGTCTCCATCTCAACCAAAAATCCAAGTTAAATAAATTAAATGTTTTAATGCACTTTAAATTGATTTAGTCCTACTTTGATTTTTGGTTGAGATGGAGACGTGAATCCAACATGTCAATTATTCATTTGAAGACAAACTGGAATTAAAGCCAGACTAAGTCAGTGGCACAGATGGAACTATCCAAGCAGAAGATACATCTCCTTCAAATGTTGATATTTGGTTGCGTTGACAACCAAACACATTACATTTGAAATCAATCAGAGCTTGAAACACTAGGCCTATTGTATTGTCTATATCTTTTTGAATTCTGAGTTGAATTGAAACAATAGCTGTTGATTACTTTACAAATGCTATATAGGCCTAAATAGCATCATTGATGATACAGTATATGAGTGATAAAGTATGGTCACATTTAATTTGCTCTGTTAAACCTACCGTTTGGAATGACTTGGATAGCAACAGTGAATCTATTTAGTTTTTAAGTGGAGATCTCTCAACAATCATTCTCACGATAGCACATTGGTAATAGTCAGTGACAAATATCATAGTTGTGCTAGGTTAAAACCCTGGATGGGAGACCAAAGGGTAGCTGTAGATAGATTCATTCTCCAGTAGGAGTTGCTGCGTAGCCTATTGTTTAAAAAAAAAATATTGGAAATAACATTGAAGATCTGACGTTGTTTTAAATGTAAAAATTAAACATATTTTAGACAAGGTTTGTCTATGTTGAAACTTGGTTAACATGATGACATAATCCTGTGGTTGATCTTTTTTCAAATCCAATGTATTTTCCATGTAGATTTCACGTCACAATACGTTGACAAATTCAACCAGTTTGTGCCCAGTGGGCCCCCTTAGATTTCTGCCCTTTGAGGTCAATATCTGCAGTAACTGATGATCATAAGACTGACAATGAGCTATCCCATAGGCATTGTCCTTTCATCTTCTCTGGCCTATATAATCCTTAATCAATAACATTACAGTGAGGGTAAAAACATTCATGTAGCAGTCTGGAAAGAAACAGATGCCTAAAGAAAGACAAAACACAGGCTAATGATAGAAATGGAAAATTCGACATGACATGCTGTGCTGTTGAGGACCCAAAATGCATGGTACTTCTGAGGTGATTCATCGAAACAATTAATCCAGAAGATGTCTAGGCTACTCCTCCTTGGACCAATCTGCATATGTCAGATAATTTATATTCAGTGTGTGCCACTTGCAGGAAAACACCTAACAGATCACTCACTTGTGGGATTCAAATTAGCTTTCTTAAAGCAATATTTTAATTGGATAAAGATAGTTAAGTAGCCTAATTAACAATAAGTTAAAGCAAGTTAAATTTAAAGAATAATATAGAATGTAATTTTTCATTATAACACATCAACGACATTGAAATCATGAGAAATTGACACATTGCCTTATACAAGCTTATCTGTATGTGAACCTATTTGCGCCATAATGCACTGAACCTGTTAAAGTACCTGTATGTGCATCTGTCCTTTTGTCCAAGTGCAAAATTCGTTTATTGTGTCTGCATGCTCCATTGCTCTTACGCTTGAAGGCTGGTTTGGGGTTGGCTATATAAATCTATGGAGAGCGCGTTTCGCAGCACGTGATGTGGCTTTCTAAAGTGATGCCTCATAAATATGCACATACAGAGAGAGACTTCAGACATCGCAGCAGCCGCAACTTCAGTCCACTGCAAGAGGCACACATGCGAGAGCGGATGCCACTCTGAGCGCCCATTAATAAACCTTATAAACCAATAAATAACTAGATAGTTAGATAAATATATTTTCTATATAATTTTAAATGTTTTTACCTTTCCTTGTTTTAATTATTACATTTATAGTTCTTTAGTCAGGTATTGCGAGTCAAGGTTGGATTAATGCTTGGACACAGTTTGGGTGGAGGGAGTCTACACCTGGGCGAGCAATGTGAAGGTAAATACTTTTTATTAGGTTATTATAAACTCTTTATGTGTCCTAATCAGTACTTGACTTAGGCAGGAGCTCACCGGAGCTAAGTACTGTTGCACCTCAAATGTTCTACTGCTTGAGTTCCTGCACATCTTAGAATATTAGCTCAAAAGTATTTCAGAGTTCCTGCACATATAAACGGTGCCGGCACTCAAAATGAGTTTTTCATTAATTTCACGGTACAAAAACACTAGGCTATTGTAGGCTATAGCAATGGCATCAAATTGTAGATCTATATTTTAAGAAAAATAACCTGTTAATTAATGTGTGGTCCTCTGTAGCTCAGCTGGTAGAGCACGGCGCTTGTAACGCCAAGGTAGTGGGTTCGATCCCCGGGACCACCCATACACAAAAAATGTATGCACGCATGACTGTAAGTCGCTTTGGATAAAAGCGTCTGCTAAATGGTATATTATTATAATGTGAAAAATAAAGGTGAAACCCAATGAACAAATAATACAGGCTGGTCTCATAGACTAGATGTAACATAGTCAAAGTAAATCCGAGAACCTCAAATTAGTATGATTTGGTATGTTTACATAAGACAGAAGGTTACTTAACGCAAAAACGAAAGGAGGGTGGTTGGTCATGGTGGATGTAACCCAAAGGTTGTGTGTTTGAATCTCATGGGCAACTAACATTTCAGCAACTTTCTACTACTCTTTAGCTACTTTGCAACTACTTAGCATGTTCCAACTGGGTTTATCAGTTGAGGGGGTCAACTATTCAAATGTGAACAAAATAGACTGTCTCTTGTTGCACATGAGTTATCTGACAGGGATGGAATTGTTCTCTCTGTGTGAGATGCAGGGCAGCAGCTAATTAACAGTGAACTCCCTTTGCCCATTCCTAATGGTTTGCCTAAAAAAATGGAATAAAAAGGGTTGCCCCTCATGCACCCCAAAAATCTGAGGGGGCACCAAGTACGTGAGGATGGCTGGAGGTGGTCCGGAAGTTGGAGAATTTTGCATTTTTCAAACACCTGAAACAGCTTTTTCCTGCAATCTAGAGCCATAATCATTATGCTTAATTCTATGTAAGAAAATATGTCAATTTTTCTGCATAGCTAAGCATACATCCTTAGCTGTCTGTATCCTTCTGACTGGTGTTTCTTTTTTTTAAAGAAACCAAATATGCTTCTCTGCATCTCTGCTAGAATCTGGGTAAAATATTGAAAATAATTTGCGTCTTATTCAGTACATTTAGTTATTGCTTGCTTTTCTAAAGTCTACCAACCTTGCCAGCAGGCATGCCAGCTAAGATATTTAGACAAGCTAGCTACTCTAACTTAATTAACACCCTGAAATGGCTTCTTGGAAGCTAGTTATGAAGTTGGGAGATTGGGAACCTATCTGAGCTAACTAAAGCCAACTTCATAAAATTGCTAGGTGGCTAGTAGTATTACAGTGTGTCTCAGTTGCTAGAGCATGGCACGTGCAACGCTAGGGTTGTGGGTTTAATTCCCACAAGGGACCAGTACAAACAAAAATGTATGCACTCACTACTGTAAGTCACTCTGGATAAGAGTGTCTGCTAAATGAATAAAATAAAATAAAAATTACAACAAATTATGATTGTAAATAACAATGTTTTTTTTTTTTAACAGGACAAATCTGAGGTGCCATGTGCCCCTGTGCCCCCTATGGGCATTACACCCCTGCTGACCATCATTAGATAATTCGAATTTTAAAGAATGAAATATACAGATAACTGCCCAAATAAAGGAAACACCAACATTAAGTGTGTTAATAGGGCGTTGGGCCACCACGAGCTGCCAGAACAGCTTCAATGCGCCTTGGCATAGATTCTAGTGTCTGGAACTCTATTGGAGGAGTGCAACAATTCTTCCATGAGACATTCCATCATTTGGTGTTTTGTTGATGGTGGTGGAAAACGCTGTCTCAAGCGCCGCTCCAGAATCTCCCATAAGTGTTCAATTGGGTTGAGATCTGGTGAGACACACCCACACACACACACACACACACACACAAACACACACACACACCCTTCTAGTCATGGTAGCTAAAATAATGGCCAACTGGGCATTACATGACCCTAAGCATGATGGGATGTTAATTGCTTAATTAACTCAGGAACAACACCTGTGTGGAAGCACCTGCTTTCAATAAACTTTGTTTCACTCATTTACTCATGTTTCCTTTATTTTGGCAGCTACCAGTTAGAAGGTTGTAATTAAAACACCATGATGATTTTGCTCATTCAAGCAATGTGAGAAAAAGCCCAATCTAAATTATAGTTGCATTTTGGCAAAATAATATGCGATTAAATGCCATTTTGAAACGGCAACTCTTTAACAGTTCAACTGTCATAAAAGAGCACAATTCTTGCTGTGCTTTCCAATTTCTCTTGTTCAATGTTAGGGCATTAACACCTTCACAAACATTTCTCTTATGATTTCATAGGTTAACCAGAGACCATCTTAGACCGCAGTGTTCACCTCTCAGGCCCAGTCATGAAGTCTGTGCTGGATGATGTGGCAGACACCACCTTCCGGACTATAACCTCTGGACTGCAGTACCTGGGCTCCAACGATGCCAGCTATGATGACGCCACCATCAACGCTGACTTCACTAAGGGTGGATTGTCCGTCCAGAAGCCTCTTTCTGCTTTCCGCAGTAACTCTTTCCCAGACAAGGTGCCTGGAGATGAAGAACTCATCCTAAAAGGCATTCCATTCTTCCCTACCAATGCCACAGACCTGTTTGGCAACAGTAGCGGCTTTGGTGATGAGGGAACCGGGATCCAGTGTGGGGAGAACTTCATGGACATGGAATGCTTCATGATCCTGACCCCTAGCCAGCAGCTGGCTGTGGCGGTGATGTCACTCACCCTGGGAACCTTCACAGTGCTGGAGAACCTTATCGTGCTGTGTGTGATCTTCCAATCCCGCACCCTGCGCTGCCGCCCCTCCTACCACTTCATAGGCAGCCTGGCTGTAGCCGACCTGCTTGGCAGCGTAATCTTCGTCTACAGCTTCCTGGACTTCCATGTGTTCCACAGAAAGGACAGCCCCAATGTATTCCTCTTCAAGTTAGGTGGGGTCATCGCTTCGTTCACAGCCTCTGTGGGAAGCCTGTTCCTCACTGCTATAGACCGCTACATCTCCATCCACAGGCCCCTGGCTTACAGGCGCATCGTCACGCGGACCAAGGCTGTCATCGCCTTCTGTGTGATGTGGACTATCTCCATCGTCTTCGCAGTGCTCCCTCTGCTGGGCTGGAACTGCAAGCAGCTCAACTCGGTCTGCTCAGACCTTTTCCCGCTAATCGATGAGAAGTATCTGATCTTCTGGATCGGGGTGACCAGCGTGCTGGTCCTCTTTATCATCTACGCTTACATGTACATCCTGTGGAAGGCCCACCACCACGCCGTGCGCATGCTGAGCCGTACCACCCAGAAGAGCCTGGTGGTGTACTCAGCAGACGGAACGAAGGTGCAGACCACGCGCCCTGAGCAGACACGCATGGATATCCGCCTCGCCAAGACCCTGGTCCTCATCCTGGTGGTGCTGGTCATCTGCTGGGGCCCTGTGCTGGCCATCATGGTCTACGACCTGTTCTGGAAGATGGATGATGATATTAAGACAGTGTTCGCCTTCGCCAGCATGCTCTGTCTGCTCAACTCAACCGTCAATCCAATCATTTACGCCCTGAGGAGCAAGGACCTGCGACATGCCTTCCTCAGCTCGTGCCAGGCGTGCCGGGGCAGTGCCCAGCAGCTGGACAATAGCCTGGAGTCTGACTGCCAGAGCAGGCACATCACTGCCAACAGGGCTGCAGAGAGCTGTGTGAAGACCACTGTGAAAATAGCCAAAGTGACCATGTCTGTCTCCACTGAGACATCTGCAGAAGCTGTTTAGCTGGTCCTCATCATGTCACAGCGATATTGTGCAACTCATGTGTTTCAGAGGGAATTTTCTCATGAGGTGGTGGACCTTCCACAGGATGTAATAAATTACACAAATAGCTAAATGCTTCAACGGTTCATGACTTCATTGTTGTATGTTTATGAGGTGTGCCAGTGTAGTGTTCCAGTGCCTAAGTGCCAAATTGATTTTTAAAGGTGAAAAGAGAGTGGATGGACTCAAAATGTGTTTGACCTATCCAAGACTGTCGTAAGTCTACTGTTGACCATAGACTTCATGATGATCAAACTAGATAGTACTGATGATGAATTCATGAAGGCTTAGTATATTTTTGTACTGTGAATTCAGGTTCTGAAACAATGATATCTTAATTCATGGGATAAGGGGCTACTGAAGTTTTTGATTAGAAGTATGTGTTATCAAGATGTCAATATGTGTACCATAAAGAAGACAAATCTTTGAGGCTTTGAGCAGCCAGAAGAGGCATTGACTTTGTCCAGGTGTCATGTACAAATATACAGTATGTTTTGTGAAGAGTTTACATTTATTTACATAAGGGTATAACTTTAATATGTGTTTATTTAAGAAGTATTATTCATAAAGCAACAGAGGAACGGTTACTCATGTATTTTCTTTTTATACCTGTCTGAGTTTGTTTATTATTTAATACAGAAATAACCAACGAGTCTTAGGAGAAATAAAGCCTGACCTGACTTTGTGTAGACAGCTCCATTGACTGTTGGAGTCATCTTTCATATAAAAGCTGGATGAATCTGAAAACCACAGTGTTCAATTTAATGACATCAATTTGTCATAATAAGCTAATCTGCAAGATGTGTTCACCAAGCCAAAAATCTACAATGGAATTCTCTGTAATGTAGGTACTGGCACTGACAGACTGATACATAACTCCTCCCAACAAAAATCATATTTATTCTGCCTTTCACTTCTTTCTCTCTACTTTTGCAGTGCGTTGGCTATAGTGGTATGTTTTCAATAAAAATGAATGTATACCAAACAATTGTACAGTGTTACATACAATGCAGTTCCCGAAAAGTGGTGGCCACACTACCATAATAATCAGAACTGCATGCCATAGATTACATTCAGATGACTTTTAAGTGGATTTCATTCAATTCAGTACATTTGTGAATAACCTTACAACTTGATAAAAAAATATGTCAACCTGTAAACATGTTATCAAATTGTTTCAGTGTTACCGTCAATACATATAATTTAGCACTGTTGATGCGGATTCTTTTGATATGTGAGGAGAGAAAAGCTACCCTAGAGCAGGCCTATAGCTCAGCTTTTGGATTAATCTTAAAAAATAAGATAGCCTGTTAGTTTTTTGGTTTTCTGAGTACATTTTTATCAAAAGCAAGCCTTTCATTATAACTGACAACATGTTAGAATGGAAGTTATACTGTGTATGCATTGTATGGAAATGAGCCTTTTACAAGTGTTGATGAAAATGTCATTTTCAATTAGATTATATAGGACTTTTAATCTAGAACTATCACTCAGTTAGCACAATTGTTCTATAGACATTTATCTTCGTGTTAAACTACTACTGACAGCTGTTTACCAGTATGCTTTGCTGCCTCTTGTATTGTTGAGTGTTGGAGATCAAATGTCAACTGTCAAGTGGCTTCAATTGTGGTGGTGGCATCTGAGGATTGTCTGTGGAAAAAAATAATCTGCAGGATTCAACTGTTCCTTTTTCTTCCGTGTTGCAATGTAATGTTTCCAAGCTTTTGAATAAAGTCACAGCTGGTTATGATGTCTGCTGGTCGTGTTCATGATTATTTGATGAATAGTTGTAGGTATGTTGTGCTCAGCCTACAAAAGGCAAGAAAATCACAATAGAACAAATTTGATAAACTCATGAACTGTAATAGGTGACCCATAGGTCCTGTTTGAATAGCATCCTTCCTTCCTCCCTTCTTTGAAGTAATCTTTGATAACACAGTGTTAGATCTAACACAAATAAGTGTAAGCCATACACACATATAGCTTCTACACCTACACCAATCAAGTCAGATATGTTATTACTCCATCTCAAGAAGGTTGGAAGGAAAGACACAAAATATTTTTTTTTCCAGGATTGGAAGGGAAGCAGTGATTCCTAAAGCTTTCTCGCCCTCTTCTGGATGATATACAACACTGCCCTCACTGTCTCACATTCACACAGGATGGGAATTTCCCAATAACTCTGCATTGTCCACATTATAGGCCTTTTTGGAAGATGGTTTATCAGAACAGGCCTGCTGTGATTACAATCCTGCAGGATGAATGAATAATGATACTACGGCCAAATACAGTTGTTATAAACTGAGGGGCCTGTGGTTGTATGTATAAAGCATCTCAGATTAAAAGTGCTGATCTATGATCAGGTCACACTGTCCATGTAATCTCATTAATTGTGATCTAAAAAGGCAAAACTGATCCTTAAACAGCACTCCTACTCTGAGAGGTTTGATACATATAGGGCCCTACATGGGACTTTGAACCAGTGGTAATAGCACTGCTTATACCTACTATAATCAGACAAGCCTTTTTTGAACAGTTAAGATTTACAGCTGAACAGAGGCACATGACAGAAGCAATGCTATGAATATGATTTAATAGGATGTCAGTTCAGTTATATCTGAACATGGACACATGGACAAGCAAACAACATCTAAGTAGAGAAGGAAGTGCACCTCAAACACAATGGAGCCAGTCCTAAACTAACCAGAAAGTATGTAGCCTACTACTGACATACATGGGGAAGTCCTACATAAGAGAGAAACATTGAAGGAATATTTAACTATTGTCCAATCAATTGACAAGGCTGTGGGATGAGCTGTTGAATGAGCTGTAATAGCCTAATATATCTCCTGGAAACTTCATGTTGCTTTTTCCTGCTGGTAAATGAGTCACATTGCAGGACAGGGCCAGGTTTCCCCAAAAGCATCTTAAAGCTTAGTTCATCGTTAGAACCTTCGTAGCAGCATGGTTAAATATCTGAGCGGTTTCCCAAAACCATCGTTATTAACGTTGCACTTGAAAACGCTCGTAATCTAACGCCTACCTCAGACCACTCGTAGAACAGCTAAGTGCGTCGTTAGATGCTTTTTTGCCCTCCCGCATCACTTAATACACAGAAGATCATGTAGGCTACTATCTGTGATTTGTCTCAATATATTTCATGATGTGTAGCCTAACGTGCGCAATACTGTGCCAAATCGGTGATTTTTGTTGCATTTTTATTGTGCAAGCATTAAAATAAGCCACCTCAATATCTGCAGCCATAAGTGGTAATATCTCTCTATATGAGCTGACCCATCCTCAGTATCGTGAAATAATTATATGAATTGAATGGAGAAAGCTGATCTGAGAGCAGCGCTGCCGTAAAAAAAATTCGTATCAGTATCTACGCGTGCTCCAACGACGCACTTAAGAGTCGTCCGCATGCTTCCCATTCCGAACAGTTCCTGCATATATTATGACGAAATTTGGTGACGTTTTCGTTCGTTTTGGTCTTCGGCAAGGTTTTTTTTGGGATGTTTGTGCACACACATTTTTTTCTTGAGGGAAGCGGAAGTCTAGTCCCCTTCCTCCGTCATTGGTCAACAGTAGGGATTCTTCAATTAAGTGTTTGTTGTCATTCAAAGATAGATGCAGGAAATAGGTCAATCGAACCTCTATGCCCCTCAAACTCAACTCTGGACCTCAAAGACAGTTCCACTGCATTTTTTCATTGTTCCCCTCTAATACGGACCAATTTAGACCTGTGACACAAGGTGCATGCAATTCATTATCAAGTAGAACAGAAAACCAGCAGGCTCCGGACCTCGTAGAGTGAAGAGTTTAATACCTCTGCTTTATGCTATGCTAACCAGATTATACGAACGGGAGTTAGAATTTAGTAGTCACTTCTTCTAAACCTGAAAAGGGACAACTTTTAATGTTATGCAGCGAAAAAAGCCAAATATATCCAAATCAGTGGAGGCTGCTGAGGGGAGGACGGCTCATAATAATGGCTGGAATGGAGTGTATGGAATGGTATCAAACAAGTGAAAACCATGTTTGATACCACTCCATTCACTCCATTATTATGAGCCGTCCTCCCCTCAGCAACCTCCACTGATCCAAATAGGACTTAACCACATAGTGGGCCTGTTACAATAGATAAATCATTTGACGAATATCCACTTTGTTAGATCAGATTTTCAGACCAACAGGCTCCGAGACAGCTTCTACCCCCAAGCCATATGACTTCTAATTAGCCAGACTGCTAAATAGTCCATTAATGGTACCTGAACTATCTGCACTGACTATCTTGAACTGACCCTACACACACTCACTAGACTATACATACAAACCATACACACTCACTCACACACACTACATTGACACTCGCACACACAAAACACACACATACACACTTTGACACTCATCATTTGCTGCTGCTGCTCTGTTCTTTATTTTAAACATGTATCCTGATGCCTAGTCACTTTACCCTGCCTTCATGTACATACACAATATAATAATAATATACAAATGTATGTGCACACCCCATCAAATTAGTGGATTCGGCTATTTCAGCCACATCCGTTGCTGACAGGTGTATAAAATCGAGCACACAGCCATGCAATCTCCATAGACAAACATCGACAGTAGAATGGCCCGTACTGAAGAGCTCAGTGACTTTCAACGTCGCACCGTCATAGGATGCCACCTTTCCAACAAATCAGTTTGTCAAATTTCTGCCCTGCTAGAGCTGCCCCGGTCAACTGTAAGTGCTGCTACCACTTCGCGGTAGGCCACACAAGCTCACAGAACGGGACCACCGAATGCTGAAGCACGTAGCGCGTAAAAATCGTCTGCCCTCGGTTGCAACACTCACTACCGAGTTCCAAACTGCCTCTGGAAGCAACATCAGCACAATAACTGTTCGTTGGGAGCTTCATGAAATAGGTTTCCATGGCCGAACAGCCTCACACAAGCCTAAGATCACCATGCGCAATGCCAAGCGTCGGCTGGAGTGGTGCAAAGCTCGCCGACATTGGACTCTGGAGCAGTGGAAACGAGTTCTCTGGAGTGATGAATCACGCTTCACCATCTGGCAGTCCGACGGACAAATCTGGGTTTGATGGATGCCAGGAGAACAATGCATAGTGCCAACTGTACGGTTTGGTGGAGGAGGAGGAATAATGGTCTGGGTCTGTTTTCCATGGTTTGGGATAGGCCCCTTAGTTCCAGTGAAGGGAAATCTTAACGCTACAGCATACAATGACATTCTAGACGGTTCTGTGCTTCCAACTTTGTGGCAAGACTTTGGGGAAGGCCCTTTCCTGTTTCAGCATGACAATGCCCCTGTGCACAAAGCAAGGTCCATCCAGAAATGGTTTGTCGAGATCAGTGTGGAAGAACTTGACTGCACAGAACCCTGACCTCAACCCCATTGAACACCTTTGGGATGAATTGGAACGGCAACTGCGAGCCAGGCCTAATTGCCCAACATCAGTGCCCGACCTCACTAATGCTCTTGTGGCTGAATGGAAGCAAGTCCCCGCAGCAATGTTCCAACGTCTAGTGGAAAGCCTTCCCAGAAGAGTGGAGGCTGTTATAGCTGTTTCGCTCACTCAGATGTGTTCTCAGTAGTTTCAGTGACATACAGTAGTTTCAGAAGAGAGGAAGAAGCCAAGAAAGAGGGCTCACTCTCGCCAAACTCTGTCTGGAATAATCCCAAAATACGTTTCTATGGGAATAATATGCAGACCTAAAATTGTCACCTGCCTGCTTTTGTTTGGAGTGCTCCATGTGAGCAATGAGCACGTGTCTGGTTTCTTTTTCCTGATGACTTTGAGGGAGCGCGCGTGCCTGACACACACAAGTAGGCCTACCTGGACTGCTGTGTGCAAAAGTAGGAGAGTGCCCATTTGGCGATGTCTGATTGTCATAACTCACCACGTCCACCACTAATAAGCTGAGCTTCTCATTCATTTTTTCTTCACCTCACACAGTGAGTCAACGAAGTCTGAATGATATTTCCTCAGTATTTGAAAAATATTTCCAACACTCCCGGCCTCGATAATCACCAAGCCTTGGTGTGAAAGAGCGAAATATCATGATCTGATGATTCCATATATCCAGTGGAAACTTAATAAAAAATAGCTGTGTGTCGCGAGCTCACTTGTGCTGGAAACTGAGCGCCCAGAATAGGCTAGTTGATACAATGTTGCAAGTTCGCTAATGAAAGCTCAAGTCAAGACAGATAGAAAGCATGGCAGACAGGTGGAGTAGAGAGATGAATGTGATTGAAAGAACCATAATTTACCAGGATATGTTCTACTGTTTTTATTTGTCGGCTATATGCCTATGTGTTTTACTTAGTTGATTATGAAGTTATAGGCTTACTGCTGCATTGGCCTAGGCTATCTCTGTTCTATTCGCTCATTTCTTTAGCCGCCAATGGATCACAGTGTATCAATGTGTTCATATGGCAGAGGCTGGTGCTGTTGCCTTAGTTGAATTTTAACTTTTAGATTTTTATCGTTTTACAATTACATAGATTTTTATGTTTCACCGTGACAAGGATTTTGAGAAACAAAAACGTTATGATTGAAATGAAACTGTTCCAAGAAAATGCGCATATAACAACAATCATAACTGGCACGCAGATTGGTAGAAATGGTAGGATAAAGTGTAAGCTTCCCCAAACTTGAAACTCACGAGCTGCCTATGGTCTTTACTATAACCCATAAAAATAAAAATAAACATAGGCTGTCTCGTGAAAAAAAGTGCCCACCTATGGAAATCAAAGGCCCATCCAACTGATTCATTCTGGCGCGGGCGCTGCTTGATTGTAGTCTAATTGGGTGGGCCAGTCTAACCAAAGCATGCAGACGCCTTTAGTGACCGTTCTCTCATGGTATTTTGGGATCTTCGGCAGATGTAGGAAAGATGCATCTTTAAAACACTTGTAAACCTAAATTACATCACTATCGGGAAATTGGGCCCTGAACAATCGAGAATAGGTCTACCACATAACTGTTATTTACAAGAACAATAAAAAATAAGTTGAATCAGATATGCCCATTCAGAAATGAGACCATCATATGAAATGACCGGGGGCCACCTTTTCAAACGTTCTTGGTTAGTAATTAACTAATAGCTTTATTCAAATTCTTCAAATCATTTGAACGTACTGGAGCGTTTAAATTTGGTTGGTGCTTTTGGCATTCATGGTTTGTGGGGAATGTAGTGCAAAAGCCCCAACTATTGGATATGAACGAATGAAAACTGTGTGGCAAATACACTACATATACCAGCACAACAATCATTAATTGCGCATGTCCATTAGCTCACAATTTGAAATGTACGTTGTTTTGACGCCATGTTGGTTGTCACCAAGGAAAGAATTTGTCAACGACGCTGGGAGAAGGAAGTACTTGTCCGAAATCTACTATCATCTGGTTGTATATAATAATTCACCTAAAAGGATTGATTGAATGAATTTCAGCTAACACTCGGCCATTACAGGGTCTGAGATTTGGAAGCTATTAAGACTCACAGAGGCGAAAAAACTACGCCATTTGTTCCTAACCTGAATTTTCCCTTGAGGGTAGTCGGAGAAGAAAGCCAGTGCCCAGTCACAGGAACTCTGGTTGTTGTGCCCTCTGATAGTGAAAACAACAGCTTTCTCGTTTTTATAGCGAGAAGATATTGTAAACGGAATGGCTTGTGGGGCTACTTTGAAAAGGACTATGGATTTCGATCCATTGATTAATCAGGCGTCCCCCAAAAGGAGAAGATGCGCCCCAATGTCTCCAGCCGCATACACCTCATCACCTCAGAAATATCTGCGTATGGAGCCCTCGCCATTTGGAGAAGTGTCGTCCAGATTCACAACCGGTTAGCAACATTTCATAGCTGCTAGATTTTAGGCATGCGTGGGAATTAATGAAATGTGTTGTTAGGTCACCTTCGTGTGAGGTTAACTGGCAAATGGTTAGCGGCTAACTGGCTAGGCAAGCTCAACTGGCTTACAACTAGTACCTAATGATAAGCATGTAAACACTTATTGTATGTGTTGTTGGCTAGCTTGTGGTAGCGACAGTGACTTAGCTAACAAACTAACTTTAGTTAACCAGAAATGTTTTTTGCTTAACTAACGTTAGCTAGTTTGCTAGCTACTTAGCATGAAAGCTAGGAGGTCTGTTTTAAACCTTCAACCAACAAACTAGTTAGATCTTATAAATGAGCATAATTTTACATTTAGCCAGACATTTAGCTGATAAACACTACCAGCAACAGCATTATGGCATGTCACCATATATTGGCAGTATATTACTCTAACATGGCTAGGATTGGCACACCCCTAGTTGTTTCAAATGGCTGTGCAGAGGAACTGCCTCGGGATGGCTTGGAATGGGGTTCTCATTTGCTAGGGAAGTGGTTAACTAGAGTTTTACTGCTTATCTTCTCGAATTAAGGTCATATATTGTGGTTAGTTACTTGGTGAAGTATAACTACACTAACAGTATATTCCTAGAGTGTGTTGTGCAAATGATATTTGGAATGATTAACTTGCCCTAACCAAGTCTTTCCCTTGTTCTTCATTCCAGAGCAAATCCTGCACAATATCAAACAAGAGTACAAGCGGATGCAGAAGCGAAGGCACCTGGAGAACAGCATTCAGCAGACAGAGGTCTGTTGTCCCCTGGAGTCACAACCGCATAGCTCCATCCTTAGTGGATCCAGTCTGCCAGGTATGTCCAGTCTGCTTTTACTCAGGAAGGACATCAGTAAGAATAAAGACATGTCTTAGGGTCTTCATCAACTGGATACCGTTGGTTGTCTCACAACAATTTCTATCAATTTTGTTAGCTTGCAGTTGTATGCCTCTTGGCTTCATTTAATGTCAGAATTTTTTAGGGCAAGTGGTTTTGAGAATGTTCTCCCTGATAATGGACTCTCATTCTCCACAGGTACTTCCTCTGGTGCTGTCTCCCCATCTAGAAAAGAGCAGCCTCTGTTTACCTTTAGACAGGTTGGGATGATCTGTGAACGACTACTTAAAGAACGAGAGGAGAAGATAAGGGAAGAATATGATGAAATATTGACAACAAAACTAGCAGGTATGTCAGAGAAACTGTTTCTGTGACTTCTGTGTTTTTCTGCAGAATAATTTATTGCACAATCCATTTATTGTCTGACCTTTTTGTCTTTTTGCAGAGCAATATGATGCTTTCGTTAAGTTCACTCATGATCAGCTAATGCGGCGATTTGGAGAGCAACCTGCTAGCTGTGAGTAACAAACTTACTTTATCAGTGACATGCCTCCCCCCTTTATAAACACCCCTGTCAATTCTGTACCATGCTGAATGTTGACCTTTGTTTCCATGAATCTGTATTTATAGCTGCTCTCTCTCCCTCTCCAGATGTTTCTTGAGTGAAACCCCATGTTTGATGGAATACCAGTTTCCCCATTTTATTATTGCTGAAAGCTCCCCAGCTGATTCTCTGCCAACTGTATTCTCCAGAGACTCAGTGGGTCTAGTTGAACTTGTAGCAGTGCCATATCTCCCCTGTGGGCACAGGCTGCCTCAAACTTCTGTCAGTGGCAACTACGTTCTCTTCGTCTGGTATTTGGGTGGTGTCCCAAATGGCACCCTATTTCCTGTATACTTTTGGTCAGTGCCCATATGACTCTGGTCAAAATTAGTGCACTATATAGAGGGAATAGGGTGCAATTTTGGATGACGCCTTGGAGTGCTTCCTGCTGGCAACACATATGGACCTCTGCTACCTATTACTCTACCAGTGGCCTCTGTTTTCATTGCTGTATTGATATTTTTTTTCCTGATGCCTTTTTTGTTAGTGACCTGCCATTCCCAACTCTGCTAGCCTAGTCGCAGATCTGTTTGTGCTCTTGTCAACTACATTGCTGTGCTTGTCAAACCTAGACAAGGAGTTGGCATTATAGCCCAAACAGACTGGCACTCAGGCTACGACTCTGCTGCCACACAGATTTGTTTTGTTCCATAAACATGTTTCTTTGTTACAAAGATGCCACATTTTTTAGCAAATCAACATGCATCTTTGCAGGGAGGGGTGGTCACTACAAAATAGTGGATAAACTAAGGAAGCTTCTGGCCTAGACTCCAGGAGAGGACATCCTGGCATTTATCGGTTGTGGTGAGATTGTACTGGTAAATGACCTATGTACATTATGTAGTTTTGCTTGACTTTTGTTCCACATACTTAAACTTTTTGTTGGTAAAAATATTTTTCCTGTTTATTTTATTCGCTATGTAGATTAATGGACTTGGGTTTGGAAAAGCTAACTAATAAAATCTATACATTAAAAGGATATTGTGGTATTTTTCATAGGCAAAAATGGTAGTTGACATCTCTGGCTATTGCATAATAGTACACAAATCCTCATCTTTGAGGGCCAACTATTGTATTTTGAATGTTCAAAACGGACAATGATTATGTATTATAGATAATGACAGCTACAACAATGACTTTCAAAAAACGTAATTGTCCAGGCTCTCTCCCAGGTGAGATTCTGTCAGCTGTGTATATACATTTAGTACTGTGTCAAGTGGAATACGACTGACAGTGATTTATAAACTATTGTCCATGACTAACAGCAGTAACAGTCAACAAAAACAGTAGAAAATGAAGAATGAGATCCAGAAACGCAATTGTATTTATTTTTTACTATGCCTCAGCTCCACAATCCCCACAGAATATTGATGCATAAGTCTATTTTTAAATCCCTTCCCTTAATTTACGCTCCAGCATCACTATGATAAATTCTTTATTATTAAAGTTCCTTGGCGACGCTCTTATTCTGTATGCAACAGTCTGCAGTGTGAAAGAGGGCCTTATGGTCAGGAAAGGCCATAAACCTTTGAGTTCTTCCAGGCCTCAAACAGTGATCAGTTTCTGCTTGGCCTCCTTGTCTGCTCTTGGAAGCTTGGTGGTGTCTTGTTTTGGAAGTCCATAAAGGTATATGGAGACACACACCAGCATTGCTCCACTGGCAAAGGTTACAGCTGCAAGAAAAGGCAAAATGGTTACTGAAAACCTGCCATGGACTATTTATAAATTCACTCACAGCCAAAATATGTTGGTCAGATTCTATTATTATACGATATATTAGTACTTGAGTGTCAAAGAGCAGTGTCTGAACAGTAACTCATGAAAAGTAATCCTTCTACCCCTCCCTTACCCCAACCCCCCCCCCCCCCAAAGAAAAAGAAAAATAAATAAAAAAGATTTAACAATTTTGTAAAGTGGTTATCCCACTGGCTATAAGGTGAATGCACCAATTTGTAAGTCGCTCTGGATAAGAGAGTCTGCTAAATGACGTAAATGTAAAAATGTAAATAGTCCCTGCCCACAGAGATCTGAATGATTGACTCACTTATCTGTAGCCCAAACAGAATGACAGATGCCACAGTAGAGAGAACAATGGCGGCTGCAGCAGAGAAGCCTTTCATGATATTGTCTGTGTACTTCACCACCACTGATGTGTACAAACCACCCACACTAGCCAGAACTGGAAGGAGAGAAGACCAAATGTAACTTCAATGTACAAGACAAATTCAGGCTAGGAAAAGTAAAACAAATTAAAATAAAGATTTCCCCAGGCATGGTAGAAAAGCAAGAAAATCTTCATTGCATAAAAATCTGCTTTGCTTGCTCTTTGGACTGGGTATCCATATAGCACTTTGTGACAACTGCTGACGTAAAAAAATAACATGATTGATTGTGTTCATGTATCAAGCTTGAAATTTGACGCACATACTACAAAGCACACCCATGGCGTGTAACCGTAGAAGAAGCCTTTCTGTATAACCTGAGCACCCTCAGTCATGTAAACACCAGCGAGGGTGACCACAATGCCAGACAGGTACATCTGGATGTTCCGCACCCATAGGGATGTGTCTGAGCTCTTCAGGACCTTTTCAAAGTACACACCTGTTCAAACACAAAGTGACACCATTAGACATAACCTGCCATTACCGTCATAAATTATGTTATGGATTATTAACGGTATGAAGATAAAACTAAGATACAATACCTGCAAATCCAGAGCAGAATACAGCGACAGCAATGGCCATAAACCCCCAAAAAGGGTTCTGCTCAACCTGAGAAGATTAGAACGTGTAAGATCCTCATCAAATCCTTGGATTCTAAACAAGCCATTATAAACCGGGTGGTTCGAACCCTGAACCCTGATTGGCTTATATCAGACCATATACCACATTTATAGAATGGCGCCGGAGGAGATGGCTGTTGTTTTACGGGGTCCTAACCAATTGTGCTATTTTGTGTTTTTTCGCATTGTTTGTAACTTCTTTTACCAATGTCTCTTATGAACGAAAAGAGCTTCTGGATATCAGAACAGTGATTACTCAACTCGAACTGGACAAATATTCTTTCTTTAACAAGTCGGACTCCAGATACCCGACCAGGCCCAAATCCCCATCATTCGCATGAAGAGAAGACGCCGATACAGGGGATGCAGGTCCGGGTGCCTTGTGAGAATTAGTCGGCGAGTGAGTAACCCGCCTCTACCATCCGTCCTATTGGCCAACGTTCAGTTATTGGAGAATAAACTGGATTAGCTCCGTTCAAGACTATCCTACCAACGGGACAAATATCTTATGTTTCACCGAGTCGTGGCTGAATGACGACATGGATAATATACAGTTGGCTGGTTTTTCCATGCATTGGCAAGACAGAACAGCTGCCTCCGGTAAGACAAGGGGTGGTGGTCTGTGTCTATTTGTCAATAACAGCTGGTGCGCAAAATCAAATATTAAGGAAGTCTCTAGGATTTCCTCACCTGAGGTAGGGCGGCAGGTAGCTTAGTGGTTAAGAGCGTTGTGCCAGTAACCGAAAGGTCGCTGGTTCTAATCCCCGAGCCGACTAAGTGAAAAATCTGTCGATGTGCCCTTGAGCAAGGCACTTAACCCTAATTGCTCCTGTAAGTCGCTCTGGATAAGAGCGTCTGCTAAATGACAAAAAAAAAAAAAAAAAAAGGTAGAGTATCTCATGATAAGCTGTAGACCACACTATTTACCAAGAGAGTTTTCATCTATATTTTTTGTAGCCGTCTATTTACCACCACAAACCGATGCTGGCACTAAGACCGCACTCAACGAGCTGTATAAAGCCATAAGCAAACAAGAAAATGCTCATCCAGAGACGGTGCTCCTAGTGGCCGGGGACTTTAATGCAGGGAAACTTATATCCGTTTTACCTCATTTCTACCAGCATGTTACATGTGAAACAAGAGGGGAAATAAACTCTAGACCACCTTTACTCCACACACAGAGACGTGTACAAAGCTCTCCCTCACCCTCCATTTGGCAAATCTGACCATAATTCTATCCTCATGATTCCGGCTTACAAGCAAAAACTAAAGCAGGAAGTACCAGTGACTCGCTCAATACGAAAGTGGTCAGATGACGCAGGTGCTAAGCTACAGGACTGTTTTGCTAGCACAGACTGGAATATGTTCCGGGACTCATCCGATGGCATTGAGGAGTACACCACATCAGTCACCGGCTTCATCAATAAGTGCATCGATGACGTTGTCCCCACAGTGACCGTACGTACATACCCCAACCAGAAGCCATGGATTACAGGCAACATCCGCACTGAGCTAAAGGGTAGAGCTGCTGCTTTCAAGGAGCAGGACTCTAACCTGGACGCTTATAAGAAATCCCGCTATACCCTCAGACGAACCATCAAACGGGCAAAGTGACAATACAGGACTAAGATTGAATCCTACTACACCGGCTCCGACGCTCGTCTGATGTGGCAGGGCTTGCAAACTATTACGGACTACAAAGGGAAGCCCAGCCACGAGCTGCCCAGTGACACAAGCCTACCATACGAGCTAAATTACTTCTATGCGCGCTTTGAGGCAAGCAACACTGAAGCATGCATGAAAGCACCAGCTGTTCCGGACGACTGTGTGATCACGCTCGCCGTAGCCGATGTGAGTAAGACCTTTAAACAGGTCAACAGTCACAAGGCCACAGGGCCAGACGGATTAACAGGACGTGTACTCCGAGCATGCGCTGACCAACTGGCAAGTGTCTTCACTGACATTTTCAACATGTCCCTAGCTGAGTCTGTAATACCTACATGTTTCAAGCAGACCACCATAGTCCCTGTTTCTAAGAACACCAAGGTAACCTGCCTAAATGACTACCGACCCGTAGCACACGTCTGTAGCCATGAAGTGCTTTGAAAGGCTGGTCATGGCTAACATCAACACCATCATCCCAGAAATCCTAGACCCACTCCAATTTGCATACCGCCCCAACAGATCCACAGATGATGCAATCTCTATTGCACTCCACACTGCCCTTTCCCACCTGGACAAAAAGAACACCTACGTGAGAATGCTGTTCATTGGCTACAGCTCAGCGTTCAACACCATAGTGCCCTCAAAGCTCATCAATAAGCTGAGGACCCTGGGACTAAACACCTCCCTCTGCAACTGGATCCTGGACTTCCTGACGGGCCGCCCCCAGGTGGTAAGGGTAGGCAACAATACATCTGCCACGCTGATCCTCAACACGGGGGCCCCTCAGGGGTGCGTGCTTAGTCCCCTCCTATACACCTTGTTCACCCATGACTGAGTGGCCAAGCACGACTCCAACACCATCATTAAGTTTGCCGACGACAACGGTGGTAGACCTGATCACCGACAAGACAGCCTATAGGGAGGAGGTCAGAGACCTGGAAGTTTGGTGCCAGGACAACAACCTCTCCCTCAACGTGATCAAGACAAAGGAGATGATCATGGATTACAGGAAAAGGAAGGCCGAGCACGCCCCCATTCTCATCGACGGGGCTGTAGTGGAGCAGGTTGAGAGCTTCAAGTTCCTTGGTGTCCACATCACCAACAAACTATCATGGTCCAAACACACCAAGACAGTCGTGAAGAGGGCACGAGAACGCCTACTCCCCTTCAGGAGACTGAAAACATTTGGCATGGGTCCTCAGATCCTCAAAAAGTTATACAGCTGCACCATCGAGAGCATCCTGACTGGTTGCATCACCGCCTGGTATGGCAACTGTTTGGACTCCGACCGCAAGGCGCTACAGAGGGTAGTGAGTATGACCCAGTACATCACTGGGGCCAAGCTTCCTGCCGTCCAGGACCTCTAAACCAGGCGGTGTCAGAGGAAGGCCCTAAAAATATACCCGGACTAATCAAATGGCTACCCCCTTTTTTTAACGCTGCTGCTACTCACTGTTTATTATCTATGCATAGTCACTTTACCCCTACCCACATGTACATATTACCTCAATTACCTCGACTAACCTGTATATAGCCTCATTATTGTTATTTTATTGTTGCTCTTTTATTTTTTACTTTAGTTTATTTCGTAAATATTTTACTTAAAACTGCATTGTTGGTTAAGGGCGTGTATGTAAGGATTTCACGGTAAGGTTGTATTCGGCGCATGTGACAAACAAAAGTAGGTTTGATTTGATTGGGTATGACAAAACAAACATTTTTACTGTTATAATTATGTTGGTAACCAGTTTATAATAGCAATAAGGCACCTCGGCGTTTGTGGTATATGGCCAATATACCACAGCTAAGGGCTGTATCCAGGCCCTCAGCGTTGCGTCGTGCATAAGAACAGCCCTTAGCCATGGTATATTGGCCATACAGTGCATTCGGAAAGTATTCAGATCCCTTCACTTTTTACACAGCCTTATTCTAAAAGTGATTAAATATGTTTTCTCCTCATCAATCTACACACAATACCCCATAATGACAAAGTGAAAACAATTTTTTAGAAATTGTTGCAAATTTATATTAAAAATATCAATAAAAAAAAAACGTATTTACATATGTATTCAGACCCTTTGCTATGAGACTCGAAATTGAGCTCAGGTGCATCCTGTTTCCATTGATCATCCTTGAGATGTCAGGGAGGTGACCAAGAACCCGATGGTCACTCTGACAGAGTTCCTCTGTGGAGATGGGAGAAACTTCCAGACGGATAACCATCTCTGCAGTACTCCTCTAATCAGGCCTTTATGGTAGAGTGGCCAGACAGAAGCCACTCCTCAGTAAAAAGGCACGACAGCCCACTTGGAGTTTGCCAAAAGGTACCTAAAGGACACTCAGACCATGTGGAACAAGATTCTCTGGTCTGATGAATCCAAGATTGAACTCTTTGGCCTGAATGCCAAGCGTCACATCTGGAGGAAACCTGGCACCATCCCTACAGTGAAGCATGGTGGTGGGCAGCATCATGCTGTGGGGATGTTTTTCAGCGGCAGGGACTGGGAGACTAGTCAGAATCGAGGGAAAGATGAACGGAGCAAAGAACAGAGAGATCCTTGATGAAAACCTGCTCTAGAGCGCTCAGGACCTCAGACTGGGGCGAAGTCCAACAGGACAACGACCCTAAGCACACAGCCAAGACAACACAGGAGTGGCTTCGGGACAAGTCTCTGAATGTCCTTGACTGGCCCAGCCAGAACCCGATCGAACATCTCTGGAGACCTGAAAATAGCTGTGCAGCGACGCTCCCCATTCAACCTGACAGAGCTTGAGAGGATCTGCAGAGAAGAATGGGAGAAACTCCCCAAATACAGGTGTGCCAAGCTTGTAGCGTCATACCCAGGAACACTCGAGGGTGTAATCGCTGCCAAAGGCGCTTCAACAAAGTACTGAGTAAAGGGTCTGAATACTTACGTAAATGTGATATTTTTATTTTGAATACATTTGCAAACATTTCTAAAAACCTGTTTTTGCTTTGTCATTATGGGGTAGTGTGTAGATGGAGAATAAAAAAAAAATCAATTTTAGAATAAGGCTGTAACGTAACAAAATGTGGAAAAAGTGAAGGGGTCTGAATACTTTCCAAATGCACTGTATACCACACCCCCTCGTGCCTTATTGCTTAATTGGAACATCAGCAATTAACCAGTATACACTTGACATGCCCATTGGCCAGGTCTCCCTTGTAAAAGAGGTCTTCTGATCTCAAATGGGACTTTTTGGATAAATGAAGGTAATAAAAAATAAAATAAAAAAACTGACAAATACCAAGGGTACCTGGACTTTAGAGGCCTCTGCAGGTTTCCACTGGACCAAAGCTACGCCCCCACACAGCATGCAGACAGACAACCACTGCAGCCGGCTGAGAGAGCGGTTCAGCATTAGGACCATGCACAGGGCTGTGCACGGGATCTTCAACTGATAGGTCACCTTGGTAGGGAAATGCAGTGTAACAGTGAGCATGAGCCAGGAAGGAAGTATACACGTCAATTATTAATGTGCCGTTTTCTGAAGAAATCAAGAAATGTCAAGTTAATACCTGATACACCGCTGCATCAAGATTGCTCAGGGCAATGAAGGCCATGTTATTCTGAATCGCATAGACCACAGAGGGAACACTCAGTTTCAGCAGCTCTTTTGGACTCTGAAACACATGTTCAACTATGGATGCTTTTAACCTGCCAAAGCTGCCAGTTTCTCTGCAAGGTAAAAATGAAGACAAACATGTACAAAAGTTAAGCAACTGGGGCATTCATTCTTTCAACAAAATACTCAATACAAGGCAGGGATTGACATTAAGGTCTGAAAGTCACTCGCCTATCGGGCAAGTCAGGAGTATTTTTTGGTTGCTCGAAAATTCTGATCACTTTAAATAAAGTAGCTATTTTCACCTACAGACAGGAGGAACCACAAATACGACTACTGGAATTCTTTGCATTTTGGTTATCAGTGGGAAAAAAATGAAAAGAATATATACAGTACCAGTCAAAAGTTTGGACACACCTACTCAGTCAAGGGTTTTTCTTTATTTGTACTATTTTCTACATTGTAGAATAATAGTGAACACATCAAAACTATGAAATAACACATATGGAATCATGTAATAACCAAAAAAGTGTTAAACAAATCAAAATATATTTTATATTTGAGATTCTTCAAATAGCCACCCTTAGCCTCGATGACAGATTTGCACACTCTTGGTATTCTCTCATCCAGCTTCATGAGGTAGTCAACTGGAATGCTTTTCCAAAAGTCTTGAAGGAGTTCCCACATATGCTGAGCACTTGTTGGCTGCTTTTCCTTCACTCTGCGGTCCAACTCATCCCAAACCATCTCAATTGGGTTGAGGTCGGGTGATTGTGGAGGCCAGGTCATCTGATGTAGCACTCCTTCTTGGTCAAATAGCCCTTACACAGCCTCGAGGTGTGTTTTGGGTCATTGTTTTGTTGAAAAACAAATGAAGTCCCACTAAGCGCAAACCAGATGGGATGGCGTATTGCTGCAGAATGCTGTGGTAGCCATACTGGTTAAGTGTGCCTTGAATTCTGAATAAATCACAGACACTGTCACCAGCAAAGAACCCCCACACCATCACACCTCCTCCTCCATGCTTCATGGTGGGAACCACACATGCGGTGATCATCCGTCCACCTACTCTGCTTCTCACAAAGACACGGCGGTTGGAACCAAAAATCTCAAATTTGGACTCATCAGACCCAAGGACAGATTTCCACCAGTCTAATGTCCATTGCTTGTGTTTCTTGGCCCAAACAAGTATCTTCTTCTTATTGGTGACCTTTAGTAGTGGTTTCTTTGCAGCAATTTGACCATGAAGACCTGATTCAGTCTCCTATGAACAGTTGCTGAGATGTGTCTGCTACTTGAACTCTGTGAAGCATTTATTTGGGCTGCAATCTGAGGTGCAGTTAATTGCCGATTTCTGAGGCTGGTAACTCTAATGAACATATCCTCTGCAGCAGAAGTAACTCTGGGTCTTCCTTTCCTGTGGCGGTCCTCATGAGAGCCAGTTTCATCATAGCGCTTGATGGTTTTTGCGACTGCACTTGAAGAAAGTTTAAAAGTTCTTGAAACTTTCCGGATTGACTGACCTTCATGTCTTAAAGTAATGACAGACTGTAGCTTCTCTTTGCTTATTTGAGCTGTTTTGTCACAACAAAACTGATTGGCTCAAACGCATTAAGGAAAGAAATTCCACAAATTAACTTTTAACAAGGCACACCTGTTAATTTAAATGCATTCCAGGTGACTACCTCATGAAGCTGGTTGAGAGAATTGCAAGTGTGTGCAAAGCTGTCATCAAGGCAAAGGGTGGCTACTTTGAAGAATCCCAAATATAAAATATATTTTGATTTGTGTAACACTTTTTTGGTTACTACATGATTCCATATGTGTTATTTCATAGTTTTGATGTCTTCACTATTATTCTACAATGTAGAAAATAGTCAAAATAAAGAAAAACCCTGGAATGAGTAGGTGTGTCCAAACTTTTGACTGGTACTGTATATCACCTGCCCAATGGGGCTACCACAGTGCAGACTCAACCAGCGACTGCTCAGGTCACTTGCCTGGGCAATATGGCAAAACATAATGTCAATTCCTGCAAGGGTATTCTATGTATTTATTCAAGGCTGAGACCACTTGGATAGCAATCACTTGTTTATTTTACACGTGGATTTGTAACATTATTTGGACTGTCATGAAAACACAGGATATAGAATAGGTGGCAAAGCAGGGTCCTAGATATAGCCTACTTACTTGGTCAACATCCCAAGGCTCAAGAACAATTTAATAACCTCTGTGACGCATACTGCTGTTGTAGAGAAGTACATAGCTGTTGATGATATTGTCCTTGTGTATCGTAATACCACAGTGTAAGTTGCTGCCACCATTGTCATCACTGACAGACAGTACACCTTGAACACCACACTCACTGGCTCTGTGGAGAGAGAGGACAGGGAGTCTTGACAGCAGAAAGTGAGGCAAGGAACCAGAAATCACACCTTCTAGGTGTGTTCACACTGCACCTTAGCCCAGGGCTAAGAGCCTGCTTAGCACTGGGCTAAGGGAGATTTTAGCCCGGGGCTAAGCTAGCGTTCACACTTGCACATTCTAAAGTGGGCTAGCACCAACCTTAGCCCAGGGCTAACTGGCCCTGCTCCGGAGCAAGGTTAGCACTGACTTTTGGGGCTAGCCCCAGAAACATGATGCACAAATAGCCAGTGTGAAAAGGGGTCAGAACGAATTTTCATTGTCCAATCACAAAAGCTGCACTTTCACTTAATTTGCATATGCTTGTGATGCGTTCTGTAGCTATTTTGATAAGTAAATATATACAATTTCAACCTTCCATCTGAGGACACAATCCTGACAAAAAAACTAAATACTTTCATCAGTGCAAATACATTGGTTGCAATGGCTAACAAAAACGGGTGCTATGCAGGCTGGCTCACGTCTTCTCATATAGGCAGCTAGCCAACTAAAGCCACAAACTCAAAAAGGTATGGGTAGCAAGCGAGTGGGTGTTTCGAAAGTCCACCAACTCTACAGCTGGAGGGGCAGCAAGCGCTCAATTTCACCTGTGTGAAAATAGCCACAATAGTGGAATTTGGGTTTCGCCTTCAAAATAAAGGTACCCCCTTGAAAGTGATGCAAACTGATCAAGTGGAATCAAGCCATATTTGGACTAAATAACGCTAAACAAGGTTGTAGTGTTGTTACATAATTCCAAATTAAATACAATTTTTTGTTGTTGTTGTCAATAAGCAGAAAAAAACGGTTGAAATCCCATTGTGGATGTACTGTATTAGACCACAATTGCATTGGGGGCATACTGTACAGCCTATACTAGCGATTGTGCACCCATGAAATGGGGTATCAGCTTACTTGGTGACACCCACAGAACACAACTATGTAGAGTTTACACAAATATTAGCATCTTAGCTCCTATAGTGCAACTAAAAAACAATGCGAAATGAGCCACATTAAGCCTAGTATACGTGTTGAACTCAATTTGGACTGTAGAGCCTAAGCTAGAGATTGTTCACCCATGAAATGGGGTATCAGCCTACTCGGTGACACCCACAGGACATAACTGTGAAGAGTTTTCACAAATATTAGCATCATAGCACTTATTGAGGGACTTTGAAACCGGTGTGAAACTAGCCACATTAAGTTCACCACTCAACCTACTGTGTATTGAACATTAATCTTGCAATGTACAGCCTTACCTATAGATCTTAGGTCCACGAAATTGAGTATCAGCCTCCTCGGTGACAGTATTTAAGATACCCAATAATAAATTGCAACATAAATGTTTTAATCAGTATTTATTTAAAGAAATGACTTAACAGAGAAGCAAAAAACAGTAACCCATTTGAGCCAATATAGGAGAAACTGCCTAATTATTCCATGATCTCTTTTTAATAAGACAACCAAGCAAGCTCCTGGAAAATACACAAATCAACATACACCCATTAACTATTTACAACAAAATGTAGAATAAAGTAGATTGAAGAAGAACAGGTCACCCCATCAGGGCTGCCCCCACCCGCTCTTTAAGAGCTGCAGGCTGTTCAGGCTTTTGTTCTAGACCAGATTCTACTACTCGTGGTCATGTTGAGCAGTTGATTAGTAAAAATAGGTGTGGTAGAATGGTGATTGAACAGGACGTCCACCTCTGTCACGCTGACCCTCAAGGATGATCCTGGTGCTGCAGATAACGCCACCGTTCACTTTACCCTGTAATCATATGGATATTTTAGGTTTTGCATTGATTATTAAATACTTTCCAACACATGCACACTTAAACATATATTGATGACATTTCTACCAATAACAACAGTAAATAACATACCCTGAGGATCACCTGAAAGTACTTCTTTGCCTCCACATGGCTGAACTGATGCAGCAACAGCCACTGGGGTTCCAACCTTGCCTCTGTCCCAACCAGAAATGATTTAGGCATTAGACACCCAATGTGGTCTGGACAGTGCACAAGTGCAGAGAAAATAAGTAACAATCACATTAAAATCAGACATCTTACACTGTGGATCCCAAGGCCAGCAGTAGGAGGAGCAGGTGTACCCACATGTACATATTACTTCAACTATCTCAACTAGCCGGTGCCCCCGCACATTGACTCTGCACCGGTACCCCCCTGTATATATAGCCTCCCTACTGTTATTTTCTTTTACTTCTGCTCTTTTTTTCTCAACACTTTTTTTGTTGTTGTTTTATTTTTGCACTGTTGGTTAAGTAAGCATTTCACTGTAATGTCTGCACCTGTTGTATTCGGCGCATGTGGCCAATAAAATTTGATTTGATTTGGGGCTGCAGGCAGGGGTCCTGCTGGGGGTACACTAGAAGTAGTGGCCCTGGAGAACTGGCCAACCTTGCCTCCAACCCATCCTGAAATAAATGCACTAGACATCTCATTTGACTGGACTATGCATAAATGCAGAGAAAATAAGGAGAAAAAAAAGTTACCATTAAAATGAGAAGTTATCTTACACTTTGGATCCCAGCAGAAGTAGGCCTAGTTGCACCCATGCACCGCAGTCCCTCGAACAAAGTGTCTGATCAGCGTGGCCAAATTGGCATCCCATAATCATCACTCAGATGTACTTTATTGTGGGACCAGAGGAACCAGTGGGAAGGCGCAAGTCACACCTATCAATCAATCACATTTTATTTATAAAGCCCTTTTTACATCAGCAGATGTCACAAAGTGCTATACAGAAACCCAGCCTAAAACCCCAAACAGCAAGCAATGCAGATGTAGAAGCAGCTCCCATGCTTGGCCTTCATACTCCAATGCCAGCTGCTCCTGGTACTTTGGATCCTTTATGCCGTCAATGTGGCGTGGGAGGTCATGTACAAAGACCTGCAAATAATTACAAGTGACATTACAGGGTTTTAGTAATTTGCAAAACATGGTCTTAGAAATTGTGATTTTCACTTACGTCATGTGTTTATGCAACTAGTAATGGTAATTAAGGATTTACTCAGTCCACTTCAACAGAGCAGTGTGGAGGAGTTATTTAAACCTTTTCCCTGCCTGATCGATGGATGGACTGTCTGTAAAGTTGTTACCAGGAGCTAAGAGACAGACAATGTCCGGGACAAGGCCTTGTGGTAACACAATCCCACAAACATCTGCCTCCAGATGTGGAGCTCTGGCTCCAGGAGTGGACATGAAGCCAAAAGCCAGGCCAGCATGACCTGTGCTACCAGCTCGGTTTGACATGGGTACAATATCATCCAGTAAGGCACGAAGATTAGAATCACCCACCACCAGGACAAACTAAGGAAAGACAGTTTTTGTAACACTAACCATTTTGGAAATACATATCCTAAAACTATCATAGTAAATTAAGATTGTGGACTGTAGGTGTTACTGTGAAATACAAATAATAAGGGGGGAATAAAACTAATATTTTAAACCAAAGAACATGCAATACAAAAGAGAACATCCTTATTTCTATTATGTAGAATATTTAAAGCATTAATACAGTTATGCAAATTAAACAAATTCTTGCCTCTTTACCGAAGATCTCTCTCAGCCGCAGCAAGTGGGTCTTGTGGCGCTTGGGGGGGGGGGGGTTGTGTGGTGAATGGGACATATTGTTAGTTCTATGGTGGGAACCATATGCGTACATAAAGTATTGCTTGACTGAAAGATGAAATGTCATTAAATATGATTTTGGGCTACATATCACTCACTACATGTCATATGAAGCTTTACCGCTTGCCCTATAATACGAGTAGCATTTTGATTTCAGTAACAATTTTCTTACATTAATAAAATAATTAACAACATTTTGATTGGGAATTTTCCAATATATTGTTGAACATACTCTACGGGCATATCAAAGTTCTAGAGTTGGATCTCTGCTAGTTTTAAAGTTACGGTCCATTTTATAGAGAGAAATTGGCATATTTGGCAATCACAGCCCTCCTTTTACTTCTATCATTGCACATCCTGCAAATCACCAGCAGAGGGTGCCAAATACTGTAGGCCTGTACATTTTGAATGACTAACAACAACAAAGAAACAAACTACTGATAACAGTCTACTTGAACACAGTAAAACTGTAAATGAAGGTGAATTGGAGAGCCTATGGAACCGTAATGCATGGAGTGCAGTGGGATCCTCATCTCACTTAAATGTTGGATTTAGGCCTCAGGGTTGGGGTCAATTTGAGATAAATGATATTCCAATGCAATAATTTAAAAGAGGTAGGCCTATCCATTTTCATTTACTTCTAAATAAGCGGAGAAGGAGAAGCTATTTATGTCAAATTCTCTCCATTTTTGTAAATTCAAATCACTTCCTGAATTGACTGACTTCAATTCACATTCACCCCAACTCATGTCACTGTTGGAGCTACGAACATAAGCATTTCGCTAAACATAACATCTGCTAAATATGGGGGGGCTTTCCTCTTTTGATCTCTATTGTTCCTCAAGCAAAGGAGGAGGCCGATGACATCAGCAAGCACCATCAGACCAACTCCTTGAATGCCCTGGCCTACTCTTTGAAGTCTGCAGTTGTGTCTAAAAAAACACTATTTTGCTTACATGTTTTTTTTTACCCTTTAGTGTGTGTACTTTACTGTATTTATTCTTATGTCAGGCCAAGCGATTGACTTGATGCATTTTTGGGCACATGTCAAGGCTGATTTTAATGTGTAAAGGAGCATCATCATTAGGATAATATACGTCATTAACAGCTATGCCAGTCCATCATGGTTTGCATTGTTTCTTTGAAGCAGTTGGTTTCTCAACTAATTAGATAAGATGGTAATATTTGTTTAAAAACTCTACAGTTGTGTTCTGTGTGTCACCGAGTAGGCTGATACCCCCATTTCATGGGTGAACAATCCATAGGTTAGGCTGTACCTATGCCCCTAATGCAATCCTAAAGTCTAATATATCCACCATGTGACTCAACTGATTTGTTACTTTGTGTCAAATTAACTTATTCCGACCTTGTTTAGCATTATCTAGTTCAAATACGGCATGATTCCATTATTTGTATCCGTTTGAGTCACCTTCAATGGGGGACTTATATTTTGAAGCAGAACAGCAAATTCCACTATTGTGGCTCATCCTTATTGTTGGATTGCTTCACACAGGTCTCAATTTCCGTCTGTTTTCATAGATTTTCTATTGACATGTATCTAGATATTACCATCCATGATAATGTTGTTGCATGCTTTTGCCTGGATCAGAAAAGTTTATGTCTCGTCCGTGAACAGCATTCTCTGTGCAGGGGCAAGATCGCATTTAAAATGTGAAACCTTGTTTCCGAGGTCAGAGTCAGGCAGCAATGTTTTCAAACATTCAGTGCTGGTAACACATTGTTATGCTAGAAGCAAGAGGACCTAATGTGTTAATAAATGCCTTACTTGTAACAATGGTCACGTGGCAGAGATATATTGTTGGTCGTATCAGCATGTTGTGCTTGTCCGTTAGCCCAGGGCTTTGGAATATAAGTGTGAATACAGGGCTAAAGCTCAGTCCCGGGTTAACAAATGCTTGTGTGAATACAGGGCAAACTAGCCCTGGACCAGTTTTAGCCTGGGCTAAGATAGCCCGGGGCTAAGAACAATGCAGTTTGAAAAGGCCTAATGTGGATGGCCACTTATTGACGTGATTCTCTATTTTCTGAATTCGTTTACAATAACAATCTAACTATGTAGCCGACGGATTGGTTTAGCCAGAACCACCATGATGTATCTGCACCTGGCTAACTAGCTAGCTACGTAGCATTTGCGCTTCCATTCAGAGACAGTCTCTTTTCCGTTAGCAAAATACCAAAGACAACTTGTTTAACTTTAGTGCGTTGCTAGCAAATAAATTCACACCCAACAATAATATTACTAATTTAAACGCTAGCTTGCTGCGTTAACTAGTTTCGAAACATTACAGAGATTAGCTAGCTATCTAACGTTATCATTGCAAGTAGCTAAGCATAGCAGATTTCACTTACCGTTAGCCATGGTTAGCTAATTTGATTGTTGTGGTGCGTTGTAAAATGAATGGGTATTTAACGTTGAATAATAAACGAACCAGTCTTCAAACCATTGTCATCTGCCTGCCTAGCTCTAGTCTTATCAGAGATGCATCCAGCTGCAGTCCCGGAGCCCGAGCCGCCTGTCACTAAGCTAGCCTTTCACCAAACGTATCATCACAGATAGAACAATGAAACAGATATTTCACCGAATGTATAAATGTCAAGCATCCGCTTAGCGTTCTTCTTCTTCAGTGATAATGGCGGTCCGCAAACCAACGTTAAATGTTCATGCCGCCACCTACTGTGCTGGAGTGTGTGGTCAATCACGGTTTACAACATTTCTAAATCCTCCTACCTAACTCAGTCCTTCTGAGAAAATAAAAAAGAGCCCTACTAACTTCTAATAGACCCTCCCCTATCCCCAACCTCAATGACCCTACACTTCAATCTTTCCCTCTCTTCAACATATTTACAACAATATAATAACACATGCTCCACCGTTTCATCGACCATACGCTCCAGACACAAACCATTCACATGCTTGCCAACCAGATGTAATGACGAGTTTAATGTACAATGTCCTAAGCGCAATTGAGCAAACACCACCTCTTCCTTCCTAATCTGACCATTGAATCTTGGTCCACCGACCTTTCTTTGGAGGGCATATAAATGCCGGCCCTTCGGCTCAGAGTCCCATCTCTTCTGCCACACATCTATCAAAATGGCTCTGATCTTATATTTGGCCTCACCTCTACCCAGTTGAACATTAATATCAATTATATCTCGTTTCAAAGCTCTTTTGGCTAACTAGTCTACAATTTCATTTCCTTCCACACCCGAATGTGCTGGGACCCAGCAGAATCTCACTACTACACCCATTCTCTCAATTCTCTATAATAATATTAATACCTCCAATAGTAGGTCACTCCTATTAGATTTACCAGATGATAAACTAGTCAATACAGACAGAGAATCTGAGCATACTATAATTCTAACAGGTTGTACGTCCTCCACCCACTGGAGGGCAACTATTATCGCCAACAGTTCAACTGAGTATACTGACAGTTCATCTGTTAGTCTTCTACATATCTGCACATCAAATTCAGGAATGTAAATGCCTGGGTCCTTGGATCCATCTGTGAAAAGCGGTAAAAACGCATAAAAACTTATACCAATATAGAACAACCAGTTTCCCTACATCACTGACTTCTGACCAATCTTTCCTTTTCTCTACCAAGGTTAGATCAACAACAGGATCTGGGAGTAACCATGGAGGAACATCCCCTATCACCACAGAAGGGCCAACCTCCAACTCCCTCAAACCACTCTCATCAGCAAGCTTTCCAACTGTCCAACCAAAACCACTAACTTGTCTACTAGTATATTCCCAACAGTCATCTTGAACAGTAGCAGTAGGATGCTCAACCTCACAGCCTTTCAACCTAACCCAATAAGCGAATTACAATTTTTTTACGCCGTATATCCAAAGGCATCTTCACCTGCCTCCACTTGTAAGGCACATACAGATGTTGATTTAAATGCACCAATACATATCCTTAAAGCTATATACTGGATTCTATCCAGCTTCTGAAGCCAAATCTTCGCCGCTGTTCCATAAACTATACACCCGTAACCAATTGTCGTCCTGATCAGAGCTCTATAAATATCCATCAATGATTGTCTGTCAGCACCCCATTCATAACCAGAGACCGAGCACATAAGATTCACCACCTTCTTACAATTTGTTTCAACATTTATGGCATGATCTTTCCATGTATATCGCTCATTGAACCATAGACCCACATATTTTTACTTAGAAACCCTCCCCATAGGCTGTCCATACAGAAACAACTGTATATTATCAGCAACTTTCTTCTTTGAGAAGAACATACAACAAGACTTCGCCACTGACAATTTAAAACCCCAGTCAATCGACCATCTTTCAACATCCACTATAGCTTGTTGAATAGATTTGATCACATGAGACATTCCTTCCCCTCTTCCAAATAGCTCCATCATCAGCATATAGGTAAGCCCCAATACCCCTACCTACATTCGAAAACACATCGTTAATTATAATGTTGAACAAAATAGGACTGATAGCACTGCCTTGAGGAGTACCATTGTCAACTCCATAGACTTCAGATATAATGGATCCTATTTTAACTCGAAAAGAGTGAATAAATAAGAAGGCCAAAACCCAGTTATATAATCTCCCACCAATACCAAGTAATTCCATCTTAATCAGTAGGCCTTCTCTCCACATAGTGTCATACGCCTTTTCAATGTCAAAAATAAGTAGTCATGACTTCTTTCATGACCATCGTTTTTTCATCTTCATTGCTCACCTTTACTAATGCATCCAAAGTAGATCTACCTTTACAGAATCCACTTTGACATTGACTCAATAAACCTCTATGTTCCAGGAAATATGACAATCATATTGACTATAATCTTTTCCATCAGTTTACACAAGTTAGAGGTCAGTGCTATTGGTCTATAACTATCAGCACATGAATGGTCCTTACCAGGCTTTACAAAAGGTGATATTACTGCACGTCTCCAAACAGAAGGTATAACCCCCTCACTCCAAATCGTATTAAATAATCCCAGGAGAACATGTATGACCTCATCAGGTAGATGCTTAAACATTACATAGCACAACTGATCATTACCTGGGGCTGTATATCCACAGCCTATTAAGGCTGAACGCATCTCATGTATGGTAAAAACAGCATCCAAAGAAGAGTCAACAGTATCCCTTTTCTCATACACATTAACATGAGCATTTAACATTTCACACCTGCGTTTCTTATATACTTCATCCAAAGTAACCCCACTATGTACACTAGCAATTGTCTTCCCCAACCAGTCAGCTTTTTCTTTATCAGTTACGGACATTTTTTGACCCATAACCAAAACTGGAATTCGAGTGGACTTGCTTCTTCCAGTCATCTTCTTCATTATAGACCATACATCCCCCAGCTCAGTAACCCCTGCCTATTGTAGAGCAGAACTGGAGTCATATTCCTACACAACACTCTGTAAACCCTATGTCTTTCTCGAATAGCCGCAGTGCACTTTTCAGTCCACCCAGGAACCCCCTTCTTTTTCTCACCCACTTCACTCATTAGTACATATAAATTCACAGCACTCAAAATCAGAGAGGTCACAGAGGCAGCACATACATCAACCGGCCTCTCCAAAGACAACTATCCAACAGACTTTAACTAATGATCACCCAGTCTGCTTTATGAAAGCACCATCTTCTGAATGGTACCCTATCTGGAATAGTAACATCAAAGTTCATGGTACACAAATCGGGAAATGATCACGTCCAACGTTAGAATCATTAATTACATCACATTCCCACATAAAGTGCCTTCGGAAAGTATTCAGACCCTTTTTTCACATTTTGTTACGTTACAGCCTTATTCTAAAATGGATTAAATAAATACAAATACTCAGCAATCTACACACAATAACCCATAATGATAAAGCAAAAACAGGTTTTTAGAAATGTTTGCTAATTTATAAAAAATAAAAAAACAGAAATAACTTATTTACATAAGTATTCAGACCCTTTTCTATGAGACTCGAAATTGAGCTCAGGTGCATCCTGTTTCCATTGATCATCCTTGAGATGTTTCTACAACTTGATTGGAGTCCACCTGTGGTCAATTCAATTGATTGGACATGATTTGGAAGGTACACACCTGTCTATATACGGTCCCACCGTTGACAGTGCATGTCAGAGCAAAAACCAAGCCATGAGGTCGAAGGAATTGTCCGTAGAGCTCAGAGACAGCATTGTGTTGAGGTACAGATCTGGGGAAGGGTAGCAAAAAATTCTGCAGCATTGAAGGTCCCCAAGAACACAGTAGAGGTGTGCGTGGCCATGCAGTCATGGGTGAACAGGGAGTACAGGAGGGGGCTGAGCACGCACCCTTGTTGTTTCCTACCTTCACCACCTGGGGGCGGCCCGTCAGGAAGTCCAGGACCCAAATGCACAGTGACGGGTTTCAGACCCAGGGCCCCAAGTTTAATAATGAGCTTGGAGGGTACTATGGTGTTGAATGCTGAGCTATAGTCAATGAACAGCATTCTTACGTAGGTATTTCTCTTGTCCAGATGGGATAGGGCAGTGTGCAGTGCGATGGCGATTGCATCGTCTGTGGATCTATTGGGGCGGTAAGCAAATTGAAGTGGGTCTAGGGTGTCAGGTAAGGTAGAGGTGATATGATCCTTAACTAGCCTCTCAAAGCACTTCATGATGACAGAAGTGAGTGCTATGGGGCGATAGTCATTTAGTTCAGTTACCTTTGCTTTCTTGAGTACAGGAACAATGGTGGACATCTTGAAGCAAGTGGGGACAGCAGACTGGGACAGGGAGAGATTGAATATGTCCGTAAACACTCCAGCCAGCTGGTCTGCGCATGCTCTGAGGACACGGCTAGGGATGCCGTCTGAGCCGGCAGCCTTGCAAGGGTTGACACGCTTAAATGTCTTACTCACGTCGGCCACAGAGAAGGAGAGCCCACAGTCCTTGGTAGCAGGCTGTGTCGCTGGCACTGTGTTATCCTCAAAGCGTGCGAAGAAGATGTTTAGTTTGTCCGGAAGCAAGACGTTGGTGTCCGTGACGTGGCTGGTTTTCCCTTTGTAGTCCGTGATTGTCTGTAGACCCTGCCACATACGTCTCGTGTCTGAGCCGTTGAATTGCGACTCCACTTTGTCTCTATACTGACGTTTTGCCTGTTTGATTGCCTTACAGGGGGAATAACTACACTGTTTGTATTTGGCCATATTCCCAGTCACCTTGCCATGGTTAACTGCGGTGGTTCGCGCTTTCAGTTTCAGAGCTCGTCTACTTTTTATCCAGAGACTGAACATTAGCGAGTAATATACTCGGAAGCGGTGGATGGTGTGCGCGCCTCCTGAGTCGGACTAGAAGTCCACTCCGAATACCTCTTTTCCGCCAGTGGTGTTTTGGATCAGCCTCTGGAATCAGTTCAATTGCCCTGGGTGGTACGAACAAAGGATCCAATTCGGGAAAGTCGTATTCCTGGTTGTAATGCTGGTGAGTTACCGCCGCTCTGATATCCAAAAGTTATTTCTGGCTGTATGTAATATCAAAAATAAATTTGGAGCTAATAATGTAAGAAATAACACACAAAAAAACAAAATACTGCAAAGTTGCTAAGGAGTTAGAAGCAGAGCTGCCCTATCTGTCGGCGTCATCTTGTG